ATCCCTCCCATCCATCCATCCCTCTCTCCCTCCATCCCTCTCTCCCTCCACCCGTCCAGCTGAGATCTTTTAACTGAACTGCAGCCGTCATCCAGGCCGACTCAATACAACAGCGACAGAGACAGAGTGAAGAGTTTGATCCCGTCACGGTGAAAGGTTTCTTCAACCAGAGGAGGAGAACAGACTCTGACCCTCTTTTTGAATATCTGAGTGTCTTTGGATTTATGATCCGACTAAACGTCATCTGGGATTTTTCTTCTTTTTTCTGGCATTTTATAAACAAGGCCATAAATCAGTTTGTAAATAAAACAATCCATAATGAAAAAATTGTTAGTTGCAGCCCTAACATACTTGAAAATAAACATATCTTAAAGCTCCTCCAGTGTAAAGGTCTGTGTCCATGTGTAGTGTGATTATAGATCAGCTCTAGCTTCTATATTAATACTGTGAAAGTATCAAAGCCTCAGTCCACAGAGAAATGCACACAGCCTGTATTCAGAAACTGAGCCTTAAAACCAGCCGTCAGGACTTCTGGAACTTTGTGATGTCACAACAAAGCAGTCACCAAGCCCCGCCCACCTGGACCCACCATCTAAACCTTGCAGGATTTGGTTTCTCTGACTGTTTTTATAATGATTTTTGCGACTGATGAATGTAAAAGTCAGTTGTTTGTTTTACACTTTTGTTACCAAATTGAAGAAAAAAATAATTTCTGGATGTTAAGGTGGTAAAGTTTTGGGAAGAAAAACTTTACCCCCCCCGAATGTTGTGGTTCCCTCCACAAGAAGTATTTGAAGAAGCAGCTGCTGTCACGCTCACAGATCTCTTTCTCTACTCTCCGCTGACTTTCATTCGCCAAATTTGTAACAGCTTCTCTTCAACGACATCCATAACTCTGAGGAATTTTTATGGGCTCCTCAGCCTGAGACCACGTGGGGACCTCAGAAGGATCTTTGAGGGACTCCTTCATGAGGCTTTTTTGAGCACTAACAGGAGTTTTTCCCCACAGCATTACAACACTGAGAGTATGGTCAGAGTTATTTGAGTGCGAGTGCTGTATCCACACCCAACATCTCAATGCTGTCGTATCAAACCCTCTGCAAAGAGTCCAAACTGTACGAATGATTCAGAAACAGGCCAAACTACGAGGGAAACCTGCAAATTTCAGCACTTTACGATGCAGCTTCTCTAATCAGTCCCTCCAGGACTTCACAGGCTTTATTTGGGATTGTTGCGGCTAAAACACCTGATTTCTCTGCAGCTTTTCTTGAAAGTTACAATGTTTTTAGACGTTTTTTTTGTAATGAAACTGCAGGAGAAAATAAAAATTGCAAAAATTGTCTCTATCTTCATTAAAAATAATAATTATAATAATAATAATTAATTAAAAATCGAAGACAACTGTTATCAGTGGGAATAAATCCAGTTCAGTCACAAATCACAAAAAGAACAAGAGATTACACTCCTCATGGATTTATGAATTAAAACTTAGGGAAAGGATATTTTTTGTCTTTTCATCTTTACTAATCAAAGATTTAATTCACTGAGCAGCTCAGAGGCTACCGGCAGATACCGCCATCTTTAAAGGTGGAATGTTGACTGACGTTTGGAAATCAATCAATACACCTTAAATGTCAATATGACAACTTTGAGCATGTGTTTTTATATCAGCTCTCCACATGACAGAGTCTTTAGTGATGATTGGATCTTCAAGCTCTAAAAATATAGATAAATATCAACCGGATGATTTGACCTGTAGATATTTTATTTCATCACTTGGAGAAGAAAATAGTAGTGGAGCGTCGTTCCGGCGGCTCCGGCAGCTCTACATCTGTGGTTCCACCACAATGTTGCAGCGCTATAAAACTATTTAAAATTGGTGCAAATCGGTTCAACTGGAGGGAGACCTTGATGATTATTGATCAAATTTGCGGAAAAGTTGCTGTGATCGGACAAAAATGCAAGATCCCGCAGAATTCACAGGGATTGGTTGAATTTGCGTTAATTATTGCGATCTCGACATCGCGACTTCCTGGAGGGACTTTCTAATGTACCACTAGATGATGTCTTCTCCACAAGAACAACGCCTGTTTACACTGCAAGTCAGTCTCTCAACAAAAGTGAAAATTATAATTCTTTTTTATCCCAGCACCAGAGTTTGAATTTAAAAGTTTCCTGTGTTTTCATAAAGTGTGTACACGTTCACATCTTCTACAGTTTAACACGACTGACAAAATAAAATAAAAAAAAATAAAAAAAACAAGCTGGAAATATTGCGATATTTGATATTACATCAGTGCTATGATTATAAAGTCGTATCATTAAACTACACCGAGACAAAACCACTAAAATTCTTTCAGTCAACATTTTGCAACGCGGCAACTTCAGCAGCTGTGACTCACTTTTCCTGAGAAATAAAACTGGAAATATCTGAGAAATAAGTTCTGTTTTTCACACTGATAACTCCGAACAGAAAGGTTCAGACTCTGCATTCATACAA